TATATATATATATATATATAGTATGAGAAATATGTGGAATGGTGAATATGGAATTATTTAGTATAATTTGTTTGTTTTTGTCATGCAATTTTTTTTATAATGCATTTGTTAGTTCAGTTCTTTTGTCATGTAGACATGTTCACTGTTCTGATCTAGTTTCTTTACCTATCTTTTTGGGGCATTTTTGGAAACTATGACATGTTTATGTTGTTTTATTATCTTTATCCAACAAACATTATTTCCTAATACAATTTTCTTTTTGGAAGAATATTTTTACACATTTTTCATGCTTCTGATGTTGATTTCTCTGTAGGATGGTAATGAGGTTTTCTTTGATGTTGATATCTCTGTAGGATGGTAATGAGGTTTTCTTCAGGATTAAAAGAAGCACTCAGCTGAAGAAACTCATGAATGCATACTGTGATAGACAATCTGTAGATTTTAGCTCAATTGCTTTCTTGTTTGATGGAAGAAGACTTAGAGCTGAACAAACCCCAGATGAGGTAAACATAGTTTGGTTGTGTTTTGTAACCTCAAAGTTTTCTTTATTAACTGCTGCAAAGTATAATGGAACTGTTACAATGTGCAGCTAGAGATGGAAGATGGGGATGAGATAGATGCAATGTTACACCAAACTGGAGGTGGATATAAATTTCTTTGAATGTATGTTTATCTATTTCTGAATGCATGAGAAACCATTGGTATTTGGTGCTTGTTTCAAGGTTTATATTTTGATATGATATTTATGATTATGATGTTAATGTAAAAAGTGGACAATTTTCAATATGAATTTTCCATATTTACTGATGTTTTGTTGTTTAAAATATTGTTATAATTGTGTGGATACAGTATTGTGGTCTTTGCCATATTTTAGTAAACATTGTCATGTTCATTATTGTTTTTTAGTTTGGTACACATGTTTTTTCTTATATTGTTCATTATCATTTCTTATTGTGGTGTCTTGAAACTACGTGACATCTACACTACTGGACTTATTTTAAATGAAGTTTAAGCATTTATGAACAAAAAAAAATTTGACAATAAATTTTTTACATTCTTTCCATGGTTATCAAATTCGAGAGTTTATGTAAACTTATGAGAGTCGAGTAAACTCGACTCGTAAACTCGACTCGTAAACTAGACTCGTAAACTCGACTCGTAAACTCGACTCGTAGACTCGTAAGTTTACTTCACTGAAAAAAAATGATATAAATAATATCTTAATTCAAATAAGTTTACAAAATTATATATCTGTAAATAAATAAAATTTATAGTTATATTTTTCATAAAAATAATATTGTAAAACATAAATACACAAATTATTGTCATTAATTTTGATTCATTTTATTAAATATATAATTTTCAAGCTCGCAGAATCGCTCTAAACTCGAGATTTTACATGATTCTATCGATTTTACAGTCGATTCTATCGAGTTTACGCAGAAATCGAGTTTACTTCCGAGTTAACTCGGAAGCCATGTCTGGGAACGTGTTTACGAGTTAACTCGAGAGTTTGATAACCATGTTTCCATGTAAAATGTTTATTATTTGCATAACTATTTGTAACTTAATTGAAATCTTATAGTTATTAAAAAATTATTACCTATCTAATTTTTTTATATAGATTTTTTAAAATAATATATATTTTTATTATATTATGTTAATATAAGAAAAATAAATAATATGTGAAAACCCAGAGGAAATGTGAGGACCTGAAAAATATAGTTAAAAATGGAGTAAAAGGGTGCATTAAGTTAATAGGACCAGACCTTAAAAAGTCATTTCAAACATTCTAGCCCATTAGCTTAAACATTCTGTCTCTTTCTAAAACTCAGTTTCAGATTTCCTCTGCCTTTTCTCTACAACATCTCTTCCTTCTCTCTTCCATTTATCCTCTCTGAACCGGTAGATTTTTATTCAGGTGGTGCCAAAACGTTCGCAGCGTATAGAGCTTTGAAACCATCCGATTAGTTTTGGGTTCTAAGCTGGTAAGTCTCTCCATGCAACCTCTTCTCTGTTCTTGAACTAGGGACATGCATTCTTGCTGGTTGCATGTGCCTTGTGCTTTTTCCTTAAGTGCAATTGGGTTGTTTGGGTAGCTCAGATAGGTCAATTTTGACTGGTTAGGAATCTCAAAATGGTCTAAAACGAGTTACAAGTGATAAAATTGGATTTGGGTCTCTAAGTTGTTGATTTTTGTGTTCTAAAGTAGGAATTGAGTCTTAATCACTTTAGAATTATAGTATGAATGTTTATAATCACCTAGACAAGTTTAATTAGGTGTAATACAACAATTAGGGGTGTTAGAAATTGGATAAGAGGCCTAGAAATGGTAAGAGTAGGTGTGAGTGTATGATTCTGCATAATTTACATTCTGCAGATGATGTAAAGTCGCTATGCGAGCTGTCTCGCATAACGAGACCCTTAAGAGGGTGCTTTATGTTTGAGTCATTCGCTGTGCGAGCTGGTGCGCTGTGCGAATGACTAGAGGGTGCTGCTCTCTATTTGGTGCTTCGCATAGCGAATCTGGTCGCTATGCGAATGGAGGTGACCTACATTCACTGCTAGTTTAATTCGAAAGACGAATTGGGGGCAAAACGAGAGTTTTAAGGGGGTTGGTCTTTGTTTGAGCTCTCGCATAGCGACTGGGGTGCGCTATGCGAGAGGCATGAGGTATGACACCTTTGTAAGTTAATTCGGCATGCAAATAATGTGTGTTGTGCGAAACGCTCTTAGTCTCACTGTGCGAAGGGGTGCGCTTTGCGAAATGTTCAGGGTTTTATTCTCTATCTTCTCTTTTGTATTGTTTCACATAGAGTTGAATGTTGTATGGTTTGTGAAGTATGTGTTGGAGCAGATTGTATTGTATGATGGGATTCAAACATGTTGTATATTGTTAAAGTGAAAGTGTATGTGATTCAAAGGTGTGATTGGTGATTCAAAGTATGTGATTTTAAAAGGATGGTTGATGGACGTAATTCCATGAATCTCAAAGGGTGGTTACATTGTGGTGCCTTATGTTATTGGACGTAATTCCATGATCTTCAAGGAGAAGATCCATGGTGGTGTCCTTGGTGTGTTTTAGAATGATTTGCATGAAAGCCCAGTCTTGGGGGTTATCCTGAAACTACAATGGCTAATCATTCTCAAGTATAGAGGATTGAACCATGTCGTGAGTAGTAGAAGGAGGTCCTAGTCTTGGGTGCTTCTAGTATGACCCAAGGTGAGTGATAATAGACTAACCTCGTGAGTGTGGTAGGGTGAAACCCATTGGCAATGGCTTTGCAAAACAGTAGAGGCCACCATGATTGCATGACCCGCTATAGCTCGACAATCATTCTAACTCTGGACGAGTCAAGTTTAAAGTTCAACAAGTTATGTTTGTGTAGTCTAGTATCTCTGTCCTTACTTGCATGTTGCCTATGATTGTTATAACATGTTTTTGTATATCTAGCTTACCCTTGCTTCTGTGGTTGTGTTTTGCTTGTGTGTGCTTTTCTTTTGCAATGATCATCCACTTGGATGTGAGCAGAGATGGATGAGGTACCCTTGGATCAGGCCCTGGATGGTTATGATGCTGCAACTTAGTTCGTTTAGGAATTTCTAAATTAAGTTCTATCCTTTTGAAATACTCTAATGCATTTTAAGTTTTAAAGTAGGACTTATTTTGGGATGATTGTAACTTTAATATTTTACTTACAGTCTACTTCTAATTGTTCTCTTATATTAAAATGTGGACTTACTATATTATATATTTCTATATAATTTGGGATGTTACAAAATGCATGATTATGCATGGGCATGTTCATACAAACACATTTTCACATTTTTAACTATAAAAAATTATGCAATTAAAAATTTATTATTATAATAATTATTAAAATAAAATTCTATTAAATTTATATTAAAACTATGATATATATATATATATATATATGTGTGTGTGTGTGTATGTGTGTGTATAATAGTTATATTATATTAATATTTATAATTTATAATTTTGCATTACAATAAAGTGAATATTATAATTATAAGATTAGAAAGAACAAATGAATCTGTGTAACATCCCAAAAATATAGCTATAAACTATATTCAAGAGTACTTACATTTATAATAAAATAGAACAATTTACAAGGAGAATAAAGTTAACTTACAGTTATCCTAAAATAACCATAAATTAAAACTTTACAGAAAACTATACAAGTACACATTAAAAGAACCCACCGATCGGTCATAACAGAAAAGTTTCGACCGAACGGTCTTACACTAATACAAAAGGACAACAAGACCGAACGGTCTTGCTCTTAAACTACCTTAAGCTTCTTCCAGAACTTGCTCCAAAGAGTCACTAGCACCTTCTGCTCACACCCATAGGGTGATCATTGCAAAGACAAGGACGACTGAACGGACCATAAACAAGACAAATAAATAAGGGTAAGCTTATGTAATTTAATTAACTAGGTAAACAGATAACTCACATAAATTTGATATAAATAAATAAGTCCATCATGCAATAACCAATCATACATTTCCAACTATAATCATATAACAATGCATGCAATGACTGTTCAATTAACTCTGACTGTCCGGACTGTATGAATTATGTAGCTACGAAGTTCTTGCACTCGTGGAAAGGTAATCTGGAAAATCATCAGAATTACCATAGCTGAAAACCCAAGCCGCCACACGAGGTTAGCCCTTCATCCCTCACTGTAGCTGGAAACCCAAGTCTACACATGAGTTTAGTCCGATAGCTGGAACCCCAAGCTATATGCAACAAGGCCTCCTGCCATTCTCACCACATGCGCCACAATTCTCTACCTAAGACTCAGTGACCACTAGAATGTCAGGATGAACGACAACTTATAATTTTATAATTTTATAATTTCACAATTTCACAATTTCACAATTTCACAATTTCACAATTTCACAATTTTTGAATTTTTAATTTTTTAATTTTTTAAAAAATTTTATAATTTTATAATTTTATAATTTTATAATTTTATAATTTTATAATTTTATAATTTTATAATTTTATAATTTTATAATTTTATAATTTTATAATTTTATAATTTTATAATTTTATAATTTTATAATTTTATAATTTTATAATTTTATAATTTTATAATTTTATAATTTTATAATTTTATAATTTTATAATTTTATAATTTTATAATTTTATAATTTTATAATTTTATAATTTTATAATTTTATAATTTTATAATTTTATAATTTTATAATTTTATAATTTTATAATTTTATAATTTTATAATTTTATAATTTTATAATTTTATAATTTTATAATTTTATAATTTTATAATTTTATAATTTTATAATTTTATAATTTTATAATTTTATAATTTTATAATTTTATAATTTTATAATTTTATAATTTTATAATTTTATAATTTTATAATTTTATAATTTTATAATTTTATAATTTTATAATTTTATAATTTTATAATTTTATAATTTTATAATTTTATAATTTTATAATTTTATAATTTTATAATTTTATAATTTTATAATTTTATAATTTTATAATTTTATAATTTTATAATTTTATAATTTTATAATTTTATAATTTTATAATTTTATAATTTTATAATTTTATAATTTTATAATTTTATAATTTTATAATTTTATAATTTTATAATTTTATAATTTTATAATTTTATAATTTTATAATTTTATAATTTTATAATTTTATAATTTTATAATTTTATAATTTTATAATTTTATAATTTTATAATTTTATAATTTTATAATTTTATAATTTTATAATTTTATAATTTTATAATTTTATAATTTT